GAGAATAGCAGCATAATTGGAAGAGCATAGTCGATGTCACTGAACTGTGCATGTAGAAATTTTTGAAATGGTGTATCTTTGGCTATGTATATTTCCCCCCCCAAAAAAAAAGGTCGAGATGGGAGAGAGTTGACATGTAGTGGGGCTGTTAACCAATGTCTTAAAACAATATGTGTACTACTGTTTCATGAGAAACTATTTGTTCTGCAAGCCTTCACCTGAAGTACAATAAAACATATATATATATATATATAGCTTCTACTATATGTAAATCAATTTCTGGAGATCATATGGATGTTTTCTTATTTAAATCTTATTTTTAAATGTATTATTGGAAAAGCCCAAGCAGCAATATTCATATTATATCCTTATTTGTGTTCTGGGCATATGTCAATGTCTCCTCAGAATTATATATTTATAAACAAAGGTATGTATGGTAGAATGCTCACTCTTCTAAATAGCAGTTGCTATAGCAAATTCTTGCCATGTGTCAGAATCAACTCAATGGCAACTAATAACAATAGCAAATTCTACGCTGCATAAGAAAAAAGAAAGGAACGCTTCTTTTAAAGACCTTTTAAATGATTATAGAATTGTAAAGTACCACAAAAAATTTGCTATATATTATTCTGGATGCAAAAAGAGTCCAAGTTCTCTTCCACAAGCTACGTATGATGTATGGCATTAGGTTAAAATTATAAATTTATTTGAGAAATTTCACTTTTAACATATTCATTACACTTTGTTTTGATAATGCAGGGTATTCCAGCTTTGGTGTAAATCTTTATTAACTACCGCATTGTGATGTAATCCTGCCAAAATAATTAGAGATAGTCTAATAATGTTTTTAGTTAATATCATACAGGTTTGAAAACCTCTTTCCATTTATTTTACAGCCAATGAAGCTATCAAATAAGAGATTAAAAGCCAATGGGTGGCAAATGCAGTAGATACATTTGTAATAAGAGTCTTTCTGCTCAGTGGTTGGGTTAAGGACAGGATAAGGAGAAAATGTCACCCTGAGGATTAATAATTCATATAAACCTTATAAACACATACTGTAGTTGCCTTAACATCACATTTAAGCTAAAGAATAAATGGCTGGCTGCTAAATGAGACTGAAAATTGGTCCTATCTCAGAGTTAATTCTTTACCTAGCGGTTCAAAGCTTCTCTAAACTTTTTCTCCTTTTGAGATTGTTTCTCAATAACCAATGATTTTTGTGGAAATTATGATAGCTAACTTGAAACATTCTGGGTCACGTTTCGTGGTGCTGTTGTTGTGGTTAGGTGCCGTTGAGTTGGTTCTAACTCACAGCAACCCTATGTACAACAGAAGAAAACACTGCCCAGTCCTGTGACATCCTCACAATCAGTGCTATATTTGAGCCCATTGTTGCAGCCACTCTGTCAGTCCATCTGGTTGAGGGTCTTCTTTTTTGCTAACCTTCTACTGTACCAAGCAGGATGTCCTTCTCCAGGGACTGGTCCCTCCTGATAAGATGTTCAAGATGTGTGAGACGAAGTCTTGCCCTCCTCACTTCTAAGGAGCATTCTGGTTGTACTTCTTCCAAGATAGAATTGTTCATTCTTCTGGCAGTCCATGGTATATTCAATATCCTTTGCCAATGCTATAATTCAAATGCCTTAATTCTTCTTTAGTCTTCCTTATTCATTTTCTGTGTTTGATATAAATGGTTGATTCTGATGGGGCCCGATAGGCATTGCTGTGATTATAGATTTAGTTAGGTGAAGTTAATGTTCCAAGTAGTTTGGAAAAAATCTTGAGGCTTCACTGAAGAGCCAAAGGCTGCAACAGGGGTTGGGAGACTAAGGAGAAACAGTTCCCCTGCTAAGGCTCTCCTTCCAGTATGAGAAGTGCTATCTGGAACCAACAGCATCAGTTATTCACTCATTCATTTATTCAAATGTATTAATTGTGTTGTAAACTAAAAGGAACAAAAATTATCTATTTTGAAAACCAAGCACACATAATAAATATCCCACAATTATTATATCAGGCAAAAAAAAGCAAAGATAAAACCAAAACTATTAATTTGCAACTAGAAATAGAATGCTTTATCAGCCCCATATTCTATTCTCCAATGTTTTAATATTTCTCAGATCTGAAACTAGTGTGACCACATAATTGTTTGTCCATATGTGGACACTTTTGAGAATGAAGGTGGTGACTGTAGTTTACTCACAGACAGAACTTTACCTTAATCTTTCTCACTTTAGATTAGTAGTGTACAAATGGGCTAATAGATTAACAGGAGAAGTATTGATAGGTGCTTTAAAAAAAGACTACTAAGGTTATGATATTATGGGTCAATTTAACTGTCTGAGTATTGTCTAATCTCTTTACCTGTCCCAATAAACAAGACATCATATTGGCCATCCTCAGCTTCCACTCGATCCACTGCTATTTGTTTCAGGTTATATTTTCCATCTGTTTTTACCAATATAGGTTTTTTATGAGCAGGTTTTATGGGCTGGTACATTAATGGATGGCTTCTTGCAAATCGGATGGCATCATCTGGATAGTCTTTGGTGGTTCCGTACCTCCCTCCATTCACTTTGCTGGCACACTGGAAATACAAGTGGATAAGATAAATCTTTCTGCCTTTAACCTAAATAGCAAATTGATAATCAGTTATGGGAAGAATAAGGAGCATTAAATATGTTCAATTAATAATTGCCTTTAGAAATATTTAGTAACTATATATTCTTCACTAAAGAAATGGAATCTGCATTAAAAATTGCAAAGAGAAGCTAAATTATGTCACACATATAGCACTAGAAATATATGGAAAGTAGTGAAATCCTAGAAAAATGAAGTACATTTAATACCAGAAGATTTTGGACATGGCAATAAGGTATATCATATTCACGTTTTTTCCCTCTTTTCTGAAATTTGTTTTTTCACCTTGTAAATTAATTCTGATGGTAACAATATATTGCTTACATCAAAACAAAAAGTCTCTTTGTTGTGCAAAATCTTCCTCTCAAGATAAGGATTACAACTACACAAAATAGCTTTCCTATTATTGAGCCTACGATAATATGATAGGTGATAGTTCCAATTGGCTCACTGATCATAGAATTTTAGTTCTATAACATAGAAATCTATTCAGATTTCATCTTTATTAGTTACTGAGAAAAAAAAAATCCCTCTGTGTTCTACTACTAGAATCTGTATTAGTGTGTATTATTTTTGTATGGATATAGGGTCGCTATGAGTCGGGATCAACTCGACAGCAACGGGTTTGGTTTTTTGGTTTTGGTTAGACACAATAAAACAAAAAACTGGATATATGTGCTATAATACATCTCAATTCTTAAATCACTGACTCTAAATTTAAATGTGCAGCAGCACCTTATGCTACTTCTTGGAATACCTTTACCTGTGTTGCTCATGCTTGTAAGTGCTCCCTCATTTAGCACATTTTTGTCCAGAACTACCAGCAATTGCAATGATTTATCTTGATAAAAAATGTCCACTTTAGAATATAAATGCAGTAGTTTAGTAATCAGATTCTGAAAAGAGGGCGTTTTTAATGATTTGTTTTTTGAAAAAAATCAGGTGATCTTTCTTAATTTGGCATGAATTGTTCACTTGAGTGTACTTTCATGATACATAATTGGAAACATTTCAGACCAGCCTGGAAGCAGTTCAGTAACTAGTCACTTCCTCCAAATCTCCTGTAAGACCATGTGGTTTCAAGAAGCATTTCCAGCAAAGCCACAAGAGTGGGCTTTCTCCATTTAAATTGCAATTTCAATCAACAGAGTGAAATAAAATACACTTTATGTCTTACTGGAAGTAATAATTTTAAGCTAGTGAGAGAGAGTGATTGAAATGGTAAAGCCTTACACTTGTTAATGGAGGTAAGGTTTGTTTCCACGTTGGGTTTTGGCTCTGCACAGACGGTTTCTACTTGACTTCCAAGTAATTGTGGAATCAGCCTAGTGATGGGATTTCACCAGCTGCTCATAAAAGTGTAGATGTCGGCTTGCATGACAAGTTAAATGTTTGCTCCCCGTGGCCCACATAGCACATGCAATGATTCTACATTTTTCTAACGTAGTTGCACACAGGATACATGATACAAAATAATAATAATAACTGTTTTTAGACTTTTATGCCAATTAATAGCACAAAAGTTTCAATGGCTAAAGAGAAGCTTAGTAGCATCAGTTCAGAAGCTAGCAGTGGGACTTTCTGTACTTTAGTAACACTTCGTATCGGCACTTTCCTTCTAAAGAGGCCAGCAAGGATGTTAAATAAGGTGCTAGGTGTTCTAAGGGGGCAGAGAAAAAGCTTCTTTTAGATCTGCTGAGTGAGAAGTAACGAGAAAGCCTGACCTTGGAAACTTAGAGACTGACCCAAATATTAGAATATAAAAATTTGGTAACTTCCCCTTGCTTGGAAATTAAATGATGTGTTAATTCTTCTGAAGAGGCTGGGAGGAATATGATCCTCATTTTATTGGATGTTTCTGTGTTCACCAATACCCTTAAAAATAAAATTTTAGTTGGAGCTACTTGGACAGCTGGAATATCAATGTTAATGTATACTTTATAGTGATGCTAAGATGTATCCATATAGGTTATATTCTGTTCCTTAAATAACAAGGTACAACTTGATATGAGAAGTGAGATTTCTTTACCACGCCAGTAATCAAGCATACTTTCAGATGCAGGATTCCTTAATTATTTAACTGCAAAGTTTTGTAAAGCATGTGAAACAGTGAACAAAATATTATGCAAAGAGCCTTTAAAAAATAAGAATATTTTTTAAAATTCCTAAACTTACAGAGCCAGGCCTTGGGTAAGGGACTTTTCCTTCATAGAGTGACCAGTGGTATTCGGGTCCTTCCTTATGTGCATACGGTCCGTTAAAGGCTGCCCGGATACTAGACATGTGATAGACACATATGGCATGGCCTCTAAATAGATTACTGAAAAATACAAAAGAGATGATTACTATTCTGGAACTGACTAGGACTTCACGGAGTCGAGTCCTCCACCCTACATAGATGAGAATCCAGTCCTTTGGGTAAAATGTTACAATCTCTCAGGCATGGAATAGTCAAGAAATGCTAACTATTGTGATCCTTCAAGTATCGAAACTCCAAAATTTACCATTTCCTTAATTGCCTACTTATTATAACTGAAAATGACATTGTTAGAATCACAGAAGTAATTGTTCATTTCCCTTTATTATTCTTAAATCCTATATTGTGTTTTTATACTTTTATGAAGGGTATCTGGCCTCAATATTTAAAAAGATTCATTCCCAAGTTGAATGACTCATTTTAAGGTTTCATCTCATTTTTTGTTGTTCCGTCTTCAGAATGACAGTGTTCTCTTAATCACCATGCTGTTCAGGATGGATTACCCAGTAAGCAAGGTATGCATGGGCTAAATTGTGCTTACTTAATAATCGGTAGTTTACAATGTGAAATTGTGCACCACAGATTAGTAAGTAAACACAATTAAGCCCGTGCAAACTTACCCTACTGTAAGCCCATGTATCTTGCTTACTGGTTAATCTGCCCCTGTTGGTGGTGTTAATGTTGCTACAAATTCTATTCAGTGTATATGATCTAAAGAATAACTCAAAGTCTAATGACAATTTGTTCCATTGGGGTCATGTAGACATTAATAAGCTTGCTGTTTATTCCTTCCTCCAAATCACTGAATACTGTGTTATAATAAAATATGACTAGTCTGAACTAAATTAATCTTGAGAGAATGACTTAAATTATATAAAACTCAGATTCCTCACCTTCACAACTAGGAGCAACTGAAATAATTTTCTTGGTAAAAATTTTCACTTGCAGAGAATGAAGATAGTAGGTTGGCAAGTTTTACTGGGGGCGTTAGTAATCAGATTTTGCAAAGGACATTTTTAAATGATTTTTTTAATCCAGCCATATATTTCTTAATTTAGCATGAGCTGAATGAACTGCTAACATTTCTCCCGCCAAGTGGTTTACAAAATGCAGTTTCATATAAATATAAAATTCCCTACACTCTGAGACACCTGCAGAACAGCAGTTATGTTACTGTCTTAGGACATCAATTCACACATTTTATAACACACCTTGAAGCAATTTCAAATATCTAGGATACTGGGAAAACTAGCTAGTATTCCAACTAAAGTGACAGTAAACCTTTGATCAACATTCTATAAATATCAACCTCTATGTCAGGGAACAGCTGGATTTATTTATAAGTTGTGCAGTCAAAATTGAAATCATGGAATCATGCTTGTCTTTGGATTCTCAGACATTCATTATACTACAATTTAGGAAAATAGCTTATAACCTGATCATACTAATTCACAGAAAACTGTACTTATTATCCCAAAGCTTGTATTTATCATACAAAGTCACTGAATTATTATGCAATGTATAAATGCTTCAATGGCATAAGGGAGAAGATGAAGTAAAAAACAAAAAATTAGGATCTCTCCATGAGCTGTAATAAATATCAATTTACATTAGCTGTTTTTCTTTGCATCAAGTAATAATTGAAAGGAAAAATTATTTCCAGGTTTCTCTAGTGAAAAAAAAAAAAAGATACCTTTATAATAGTAGGACACTTGTCCAAATAGCATTTTTTTTCCAAAATAGACATAAGAAATCACCTGCTGAATAAACAAAAGCTGTGTGGAAAGGCCCTAAGCAAGCACAGTATAAATGACCACAAAACAATGTCCAATGAAATGCAAAAGAGGAACTGAATAATATCATTCTATTCCTGTCAAGAGAACTGAGAACTATTATTTGTTAGTTTTCATTCCAGTCATTTCAACTCCAGTCTGCCTCATTAGGAAAGATACTTGGGAAATAAAGAAATAAATATACAAGAAATTATTTTGTCTGTAAACTTTCAACCAAAACTGATTTTAAAAATATTTTTTCATTCATGTATCGACACACACAAAATATCATTTTATTTATTGTTATTGATTTTACAGCACTCTTTCATTGATACAAAATACAAAAACGTAAGAGGAAAATAATAGAATATAATCCCTAACCTTTTGAGTCAAATTTAAAACAGAGAGGGCAAATCACAAATATGGGATCAGTATAAACCTAAATAGGACCAGGTCAGCCCTGAGTAAAGGAATGAGCAGAGTGCTTTGTGATTACTAACCAAGGAATGTTTCTTGGAGGTGGCAATTGACAAATATTGGTGAACTGATATAAATCAATGTTGGAAGAGAACGTTCATCCTGAGCAAGAGAAATGAGTGAATAAAAACATAGTGATGGGAACTAGCAAAGCAGACACTGGGATTTGTCAAGATATTATCTTGTTGAAAAATAGTGCATGGGAGAGCTTACAGGAAAAATTTCAAAGTTAAAGGGTAACAGTTGATTGTTATTGTTGGTTACTGTCAAGTCAGTTCTGACTCATGATGACCCCATGTATGCAGAGTAGAACTTCTCCACTGGGTTTTCAAGGCTGTGACCTTTTGGAAGCAGATTGCCAGACCTGTCTTTCAGGGCATCTCTGAGTGGGTTTCAATCGCCAACCTTTTGGCTAGTAGTTGAGTGAGTACCTTCCAGGTACTCCTAACAGCTGATAGAGAGCCTTAAAAGCCTGACTTAGAAAATTCTATATGATGATTAAGAACATCGTTCTATACTCTACAGCATGGAAATAATACATGAGAAACTGTATGAGGAAAAAAATCACGCAGTTGTAGGAAAAGAGAAGAAATTAGGATACTGAGCACAAGAGGATGCTGAAGTGCCACAAAAAAAAAAAAAAATGAGGAAGGGTATGGCTTTGAAAAGTAAAGTGCAATTGCAAACAGGAAAATAAAGAGAAATTGGCGACTGATAAAGTATAGAAACTGAGAATGACAAATGGGTCAACAGTATTTCCAAATTACATACACAGTGAAGACAGAGGCTGTGGATCATCTTTTGTTTCATATTGTTTTTATTGACTATATAAATTTCTCACCTTGTAGTGTTAAAAAGTCCAAATATCACTGGGTTCTTATGATCTCTGGTATGTAGCAAAAAAACATCCTCTGAAAAGTTAAAAAAATATTACATTAATTGGTATTTTTAGCCTTTATATGAAGAAACTGTATTGGCATAAAATAATTTAGAAACCATTACAGATTTTAAAATATAAATTTTCATATGCAAACATACAACCATTACCAAATCATAACAGATTGAAAAATTTGTCTCTTCTGGTGGCTTGCAACTGAGCCACAAGGAAGGAACTAGAGACACTGACTCTAAGCTAATGAGACAGACTTATTGTTGTTCCTGCAACCCCTTTATCCCCATCACTTGGACCTGGCTAAAGTGGAAGGAACAAAAACTTGCTCTGAAGTCTATAAGGTCAGATACAGTGGAAAACAAGTTTTCCATGTGTGCTACAGGCCGTGAGGGTTATAGAGAGGCATACACATCAAAGGAGAACATTTAATTTCCAATAATATTTACCTAATTCATCAAAATATGTATCAATTCCATTCATTCCTGGTACTGAGCAAACCAGTCTCGCTTTTAGGAAAGTGCTCCACTTATTCACCAGTATTCTCTGCCCTCCCACGTCATTCTGTGAAAAACGAAAGGTAGGTGAATGGATATGTACAAACTCTTACCAACAACAGTGTTTGTAATATCATGTGTGCAAATGCCAGGAATTGTATTTGTTGTTTTTTAATTGAACTTGGAAAATTTAGCATAATCCTCAAATAATATCATAGATTGCATGCCCCTAGAACTTTTTTTTTTTTTTTTGAGGTTCTTGCATCCTGTTTTATCAGTGAACTTTCACTCTGGTTGATTAAATATATGTTTCAGATATTAAAATTTTAATATATCAGTTTCCCGTAAATAAAGTAGTGGCTGCATGATACAAAAATTTTTGAATTCTTTTATCCATAAATAATCTACTTATCTCAGGAATATGGAAGCACCTATTACTTTTTTCTGTCCTAGAAAAGAAAGCTTGAAGTACACACACACACACATATATGTATGTATATATACATACATTATATATACACACACTATAGATATACATATATGTCTATGTATAAATATATATGTGTTGTTTTTGTTATTAGTTGCCATCAAGTTGGCTCCAATTAATGGCGACCTTATGTGTAATATGTACATATATAAAAATCTCATACATATCTTCCTAGATTTCATAGTAACTCTGTATGTGCATATTATTTGCACTTTTTCAATATATGTTGATATTTCAGTTGGTTTTGAATGTTCCCAAACAACCTATCTTAATATCAAACTACATGTATTTTTCTCCATTACACTAGAATCAGCCAACTGAATCATTTAAGCATACTCATGTACATTATTTTGAACATGAACTACAGCAATAATAAAAAAAAATGGTTAAATTCATTAAAAAAAAGAGCTCGAATTTCTGTGTGCAAAGAGATAAAGCCTACTTACAGACTATTCTTTTTGTTTTCAAACTATTTCTTCTTACTATTGCATCGAAGTAAGGGAAATCATACAAAATGCAAGGCTCTTTTAAGATAAAACTTTCACTAGATATGAAGGATATTAGTTTAGTAAACTTGGATTTTAGACAGAATACTAGAAAATATTTGAAAGGGAAAATCTACTATAAAATTAAGAAAGATGTGGTCATAAATTTTGAACTAAGCAAGCTTAAGGCGGGAGAACGTTCAATCCTCACCACACAAAGTCGCCCCACTCTGGTGTAAATTGCATGGGCATTGTTTTCTGCCTCCAAGGCCTTCTCAGTAAAAAAGAAATATACTTTGTTGTCATCTCGATCTTCATTGTCAGGAATCATATATGAACCTACAAATTTTGGTTCTATAGGAAGTAAGAAAATAGAAGAAGTGAAATAGATATTATGAGAAGGTGGTAACAAGTTATTCTAATAAATTATAAATCAGCTGAGTGCTTAAGTTTAACTCTCATCATTTTATGAAAAAATAAAATACTGTTCTTGAAAAATTTTGCCAAATATTAAAAACTATGTAGAGACCTCCATTTCCTTTGGGAGTTAAGAGTATTTTAAAAAATATTAGAGGAAAATTTAATTGGAAAATAAAGAAGTCAGGGAGGAAAAACAATTTTAAACAACATATATTATAGACATTAAATGCAGGCAAAGCAGGACATGCTGGGGCATCATAATGATAATTGCAGTAAATTTCTTTCCTTTATGTATAAAAGTCACTGTAAATATAAATAGTATATTTTAGTAAGAAAGTCTATCATTACCTTTTTTTATTCACAAATTATCTACAAGTCTAGACTAAACTGGGTCATGGAAGACCAGTTTAGCTTTAAAGTGGAAAATTTATTTTATTTTACATTTTTGAGTTTACAGTATTAAAAAAAACACGTTATCGAGTCAATTCTGACTCATAGAGGATTTAAATGAATGCCTTTGATATAGTATTTGAAATATAGAGGCAGCCTTAATGACTATGTATTTTAAAGCTTTAAAAATGCTTAAAATGATGAAAACAGTCACCATAAAATGTTTTAGTCCCTAGATATACCAGTGTGGCAAAATATTTAAAATAAAATTAAAAAAAAAAAAAGATAAGAACCTTACAAAGAATCCTATGTCAATGAAAGGCTAGTGACTTTCTTACAGTTTTGTTTCTAAAGTGGATTGTGATTCCATTCAAACAAGCAAAGTAAAGCAATCAATTCATTAAAAAAAAATTATAGCAATTGGTAAGTGTAATAACCTATTGGATGATAGTTTTTTACTCTTCATACATTTGCTTTATTTTCTTCACATAAATCCCAATTCATAGTCATTATTATGAAAGTAGATTGGCTTTATAGCTAAGCCAAAACATAATGTCATATTATTTCATATATAATAGTTTTTCTCAAGAATATTGCTAATAAGAACATCCAGAAATTTGTAAAAAATTATAAATTATATTTATTTTGTTATTACTATCAAAATGGCAAGATTTCTGATGAGTTATAGATTTTTATTTACATACTGTTTTTTCCTCAACCTTACCTTTCAACAGGCGCTCGTCATCATGCTCTGTACGAATGTGGGTCAGTCGCCCCATGCTCCGGAAGATCGCAGCGTCTCTGCCCCAGTAGTCACTGTAGAGTCCAGCAAACAATTCATTACCTACATGAAAGTATCAGTTACAAAATGATTCAGTATTTGTTCCTGGATCTGAAGACAATGTACAAACTAGAATTACATTAACAACATCCAGGTTTACTGTGTATATGATATCATAAATTAAAATATAGTGGTTACGGGTGGATGGTACAGCTAGACTGCCAAGGTTTGAAACTTGACTCTTCCACTGAGGAGCTGTGTAAACTTAGGCAAGTTGCTTAACATCTCTGTGTCTCAGTTTCCTCATTTGCAAATGGGAATAGGAATAGCACTTACCTCAATAAGGTTGTTATGAGGAAAGCACTTAAATGAGTGGCAGACACAGTCTAAGCCCTATCTAAGTGTTTGATAAATAAATAACCTTAACCTGGTTTCTTCTTGAATTAACTGAATATACTTTTTTTAAAGTAAAGATTTTTAAAATTTAGGATTCCTGCAAACTAATTCACCTTTATATACTATTACTGTATGAGTATGTATTTGTGTGTATCTGTGTGTATTCAACATTCTTAGCAGGAATTTAAAAAAAAAAAGAATCACAAGTTTCATTTGCATTTATATTTCCAGTTCCACTTTCAACCCCTAATATGAGGAATTCTTCTTTGATCAAAGTGGTTTTATATATGACAGGCTGAATAAGCATATTTTTCTAGTTTGAAATCATGTAACACATTTTTATTCCCAAATTGAAATGTTTGATTAGCTAACGCTGTTGTTAGGTGCCATGGAACCGATTCTGACTCACAACTGCCCCAAGTGACAAGAGTAGAACTACCCATAGGTTTTTCTAGGCTGTAATCTTTACGGGAGCAGGTCGCCAGGTCTCTCTCCTGAGTTGCTGCTGGGTGGGTTGGAACAGTAGAAAACATTTAGGTTAGAAGCCAAGCATTTAACCATTGTGCCACCAGGGCTCCCTTGTTGTTGTGTGCCTTGAGTCAGTTCCAACTCATAGTGACCCTATATGACAGAGCAGAACCACCCTATAGGGTTTCCTAGGCTGTAACCCTTACGGCAGCAGATTCCCAGGTCTTTTCTCCCACAGATGGGTTCTATCAACTTTTCGGTTAGCAGCCAAGGGCTTAACCATTGCACGACCAGGGCTCATTTAATTAGCTAATAAACCAAACCAAACCAAACTCATTGCCGTCCAGTCGATTCCAACTCATAGCAAACCTATAAGACAGAGTAGAACTGCCCAATAGGGTTTTCAAGGAGCGGCTGGTGGATTCAAACTGCTGACCTTTTGGTGAGTAGCTGAGCTCTTAACCACTGTGCCACTATGGCTCCAATTAGCTAATAGTCATATTTAATTATTAAAGAAGTACTTTTATTTTACAAGAAATTGTAGCCATTGTAGATAGAATCATTTTATCTTTAATCTTTCCAGGAGAAAAGGTGAAACAATGACATATTTACATAAGCCCTCTATTAAAACCAACAAAAATGAACAAACTAAAAAAAAACTTATCCCAGGGGGGAAACACATATACATATATATATATACATATATATGTATATATATCCTTATTTACTTTGTTATTGTATCAAAATTTTGAAGAATATGTGCTAAAGTACTTGGGGCTGAAATGTCATGTCTACAATTAATTTTTTAAGGACTCAGTAAAAGAAAGTGTGTGTGTACACACGTGTGTGTGTGTGGAGAGAGAAATGTGGCAGAATGATAACAACTCGTGAATCTAGGTAAATGGTATACTCCTCTTTCAAATTTCCTTTGTATTTGAAAAATTTCAAGATAAACAGTTTAAAAAAAGACATACATATTGAATTTGTCCCACATATTTAACTTAGGCTAAGTGAGATGTATGATAATAGGAAAAAAAAATCAAAAAACAAAAAACATAGATGATTTATGTCTGACTTAAAAAGAAAGTTTGATTTGATCAAGAAAAACTGTATCAGAACTCTTATTTAAGCGTATCATGTTCCTTGGTAATTGTCTTAGTCATCTAGTGCTGTTATAACAGAAATACCACAAGTGGATGGCTTTAACAAAGAGAAGTTTATTCTCTCACAGTCCAGTAGGCTACAAGTCCAAATTTAGGGCATCAGCTCCAGCAGAAGGCTTTCTCTCTCTGTCGGCTCTAGAGGAAGGTTTTTGTGATGCATCAGTCTTTCCTTGGTCTGGGAGCATCTCAGCGCAGGAACCTCAGGTCCAAAGGACACACTCTGCTCCAGGCACTGCTTTCTTGGTGGTGTGAGGTTCCCATGTGTCTCTGCTCACTTCTCTCTTTTATATCTCAAAAGAGATTGGATTAAGACACTAATCTTGTAAACCTCATCAGTATAACTTCATCATAGTGTTAGAGTTTACAGTACATAAGGAAATCACATCAGATTTACAAAATGGTACACATACAATACTGGGAATCATGACCCAGCCAAGTTGACAGATATTTTGGGGGGACATAATTCAATCCATAACACCCCACCCTTTGGCCCCCCAAAATTCATGTCCTTGCAACATGCAAAACATATTCATCTCATCATATCACAGGAAAAGTCTTAACTCCAAGTCCAAAATCCAAAAATTCCTCTTTGTCTGTGAAATCTAAAATACAAGTTATTTGCTTCCAAAGGTACAATGGCAGAACAGGCACAGGCTAGACATTTCCATTACAAATGGGAGAAACTGGAGGGAAAGAAGGGATAACAGGCACCAACCAAGTCAGCAGAACACATTAGGCCACACTGTCCAGATTCTGAGTGGAAGCCCCTCGGCCCTGGGCTTCAGTTCTGCCTTCCAGGCCCACTGGGACAGCAACTCTGCTCCCTCAGCTTTAGGCACACCATTCTCCTAGTCCATTGGAGTGACAACTCCACCCTTAGGAACACCAGAGGCCATGGCTTCACCCTTTGAAACCCCAGAGGTCACGGCCATACCTTTTGAGACTGAGGCAGCTCGGCTTCTTGTGTCCCTTGTCTCTTCAGCTTCTGCTTCTTTGGGCCCCATGCCCACATCTGCCCTGCTGGGGCAAGTGTTACAAAGCTCTGTAGCTCCACTGATAAGTGCCCAGAGGCACCCCACTCCACCAGGAAGCCTCCTGCACACTGGAACTCAGCCCTCTCGCTCTATGGGTCGGCTCCAGCGCTGCCTGGTGCTGGTCTCCTGGTTCTGCTGCTGCCGTTTCTCTGCCACTGCAGGTTCCCTGCTGCTGCTGGTCCTCTGCCGCTGCCGCTCCTGTATCCATTCTCAGTTTCAAAGCCGCTTCCACATTTTAGGTATCTGTTAAAGCAGCACCCCACTCCCGGTAACAAATTCTGTCTTGGTTATCTAGTGCTGCTCTAACAGAAATACCACAAGTGGATGGCTTTAACAAAGAAAAATTTATTCTCTCACAGTCCAGTAGGCTACAAGCCCAAATTCAGGGCATCAGCTCCAGCAGAAGGCTTTCTCTCTCTGTCGGCTCTGGAGGAAGTTTCTTGTGATGCATTAGTCTTCCCTTGGTCTGGGAGCATCTCAGTGCAGGAACTTCAGGTCCAAAGGATTCGCTCTGCTCCAGGCACTGCTTTCTTGGTGGTGTGAGGTTCCCATGTGTCTCTGCTCACTTCTCATCTTTTATATCTCAAAAGAGATTGGATTAAGACTGTATCTAATCTTGTAAACCTCATCAGTATAACCTCATCATAGTGAGAAGAGTTTACAACACGTAAGGAAATTACATCAAATTTACAAAATGGTACACAATCATACAATACTGGGAATCATGACCCAGCCAAGTTGCAGATATTTTGGGGGGACACAATTCAATCTATGACAGTAATATAAAGGGGGAGCAACATAATTTATATCTAAGTCAATTAACAGTCTCTTCACTAGCAATTTTATGTCTGTATTTGGAGAAAGACGGTACTTTGAGACAAAATGCACTCAGTGGCTAAAGGTCTGAATCATTACCTGGGATCCAGTCTGCACTACTTAAACATATATAAAAGAAAGCTATTTCAAAATCATTAAAAGGACTTGGGAATCATCAACTCTAAGGTATAAATGACTGAGATGATAAGTAAGAGTTAATTGAAAATTGAAACTCCAGAGTGAGGATTTTCCTGAAATATTTTTGTTTTCTAATAATTATAGTTTAATTATATTCTTATCTAAAAGACTGAGGCGATTCTGGAAAATTGTTCTAAACATAATTTATCTTTCTAATCTAATACAGAGCCCTGGTAGTGAAGTGTTAAGAGCGTGGCTGCTAACTAAAAGGTCAGTTCAAATTCACCAGCCGCTCCTTGGAAACCTCATGAGGCAGTTCTACTCTGTCCTATAGGGTTGCTACGAGTTGGAATCGACTCAATGGCATCGGGTTTGGTTTTGGGTTTTTGTAATCTAATATGGGCTGGACTTAAGGTTGAATAAAGAGTTGTTGTTTTTGTTAGTTGCTATGGAGCACATTCTGATTAGTGATGATCGCATGCGTGCAGAGTAGAACTGCTCCATAGGGTTTTCCAAACTGTAACTTTTCAGAAGCCAATGTCAGGCCAGTCTTCCGAGGCACCTCTGAGTGGGTTCGAACCGTTAACCTTTGCGACTAGTACTCAAGTTTGCACCATCTAGGGAATACATGAGTTGTATAAAGAGTAGATTTCTTAAAAATCACGATGACAGTTTTGTATATCTTAACTTTTTAATATTTGAGTTAATTTAATTTATTTAAAAAAATTTTAGAACTTTGATATCTGGAAATATTATTGTGGGAAAATAATCTTTGTATTCGTTCACGTCAATTTTAATACACTAATCCCAATTTGGAAATCCTGATGGTGGAAGTGGTTAGGAGTTCGGCAGCTAACCAGAAGGTCGGCAGTTTGAGTCCACCAGGCGCGCTCCTTGGAAACCCTATGGGACAGTTCTACTCTGCCCCATAGGGTCGCTATGAGTCGGAATCAACTTGACAGCAACGGGTTTGGGCTTTTTTATTTGTTTATTTGTTTTAATCCCAATTTGGAACACTGTTTTGACTTTTTTTTTTTTTTTCCAATTT